AGCTCCAAAATATAATGAACTGACAGCTAACTTCTTTCAAATGGTTTCAACAAACACCACCTAATTAGGATAAACTTAGGTTGTATTTCTCTGGTTGGCCCTATCAAAAATAGTGTGTTCAGCCATTAAAGCAACGCTAAATCAAATGAACCAACTCTTTAAAGAGAGAAAATAATAAAACCACCCAAGCCAGTCTCTACACTGCCTCAGAAGACAGGGAAATAAAGGGCATTTGCCTTTGAGGGAATTATAATTTGATGAAAATAGGCAGAATAAAGACAGTTCAACACAAAATGAACATGAAGGTGGATCTCAGGAAAAAGCCTCCTTTTCTTGATGAAACGCAAGATAGCTAGACAGCTATAAAGAAATACAAAGCACTATGACACAAAATCACCACCACTTCCAGTCTGCTTACCGTAACACTGTGCAAAAGCACCAGTGCCATTTTGACTTAACATGATTTCATTTTCAAAGTCCACTGACATTTACTTGAAGTTAATGAAAGAGAAAGATGAAGAGTGCAGAAGGTAATAAGAGTATCCAGAAAGAAAAACATGGGAATAACCATTCTAAAATGAGATGACTTCTCATGATTTCAAAGTGTAAGACTTGTTAGACCATTAATACCTATACTGACACAGACTTTGTAGTTAAACTGAATAGTTATTTCGCAAGTCAAGCCTTAAATTTTGATGAGTAAAAGGGAAAACATTAAAAACTGCACCCTTTCTGATGAAGAAACTTGCTCACTACTGAGGAAGACGAAAAGAATTACTGATTAAAGCAGATGCATCCTAAGTCCAAAATCTTTCAGTGAAAATATAATTGTTTTCCAATGCTTCCCCCCCCCACACTCCCAAATATAGCCATCAGATCATCAAAACTAAAAGTTCTCAATATCACAAGGCGTTTAGTACATCGCACTTTGGCATACTATTAGTCACAGAAAGGAAGCAATTTTTTAACAAAGTCCAATGGACACCTGTTAAGGTGGTATTGTTTTAAAAGTATGTGTAAAACAAACAAAAAAAGCTGTGTATTACGCGCAGGACAGAAATATTTATGACTACTATTTAATTACAAAAGCTCTACAAGTTGATACTGAAATTGGTGGCGTTTTCCAAAAGCTTGTGAATTTGCAACCAAAAACATAGTGTAAGTTAGGTTCCAGAAAAATTAAACCTTTCAGAGCAAGGAACCACCTCTCTCCGAGCCAAATACAAGTGCTCATGTAAAAAAGATTTTGTATCCTATGAGACCTTTTAAACGCTTGTCTCAATTTAAAACAATGCCACACAGCCAAACCATATTTCTGGATGCAGCAAATGAACTAAAGTGCCTGAAGTCAGTGGATCTAAATATTGTTGCAAAAAGGAGGAACTGCAAAGATTTTAAAGGGCTGTAGGGAGATTGGGTCAGTCAGCCCTAGCCAATCCCTACGCTTTTCCTGAACATCCCTGTGCACATGCTTCACGTTAAGAGACCAGCTTTCCAAGAGCCAGCGGAATGGAAACTAACGGTTTACCTCCTGGCTGACAAGTGTCAAGTCCTAGTCCAACGACTAACTCGAGACCATCATAAGCCCTGCCGCTGAGGGACAGCAGAAGTGTGAGAGGGCTGAACCTTGGCTTCCATTTTTTAAGTTTCAGCAACACGTACAAGAAAGAAAAAAAAATGGCCTATCCAATGGAGCGCGCCTCTGACATTCCTAGAATTACGGATCGCAGGCGCCGCGGGCAGCCTAAGTTTTACGGCCCCTAGCAGTCATTTTTTCCTTCAAATCTCGGCTCCCGGCATGCGGATGGGGGAGGGGAGAGGGGCTCCACACACATCGGCCTTTCCGGCTGGGGCTTCTCGCCAAAGTTTTCTCCTGCCTCAGGTAACCTCGGGGTTTGCCTCCCGCCCGCTACCCACCTCACCCCACACCACCAGCCCGGCTGTCCACTCAGCCCGCTCGCGCCGAGGCCGGCCGCCGGAGGCCGGAGCCACACGGCTCCGGGGCGGACAGGCCGGGTGGCCGCGGACGCCTCGGGCCCAGCGCGGGAGACGGCCGCGTGGGGCGGCGGGCGGAGGCGGGAAAAGCGCGGCCGACTCGACAGGCTGTGCAGACCGCGCCCGGCACGCAGGACTGCGGGCCGAGGGTCGGAGGAGGATGAGACAAGTCAAGGAGGCGCCTCAGCGGGCCTAGGCCCACAGC